GCCCTGGGGTGGCCTGACAATTTTACTGCCTATTATGCTCTGCTGGCTCCTTGCAAAGACCCCTTTTTGTTAAGGGGTGATAAGGAGTGTGAGCTCTGGACTCAAATGTCCCCTGTTCACTTCCTGGCTATGTGGCCCTGGGCAAGTTACTCGTCTGTTGTCCCCAAGTCTACCTCCCTCATCTACAAAACGAGGGTGATAACAGAATGTGAGAAATAACGTAGGGAAATGTTTAACATAGGCCTGGCACTTAATCAGTGCTCAATAAATATCCGTCGAATGCATGAATACATGAATGGATGCAGTCTGTATACAGGCTGAACTTAAACAATAATCCACAACTTATTTAAGAGCTACTAACAATCTTATTTAAAATACAGGTTCCCAGACCTGTAGCCAGACTTCCTAAGTTAGATCTAGAACCTGTATTTATGCAAGCCCTCAGTGTGATTGTTTCAGAACTAGCCTATTTCTTCGTAGGGACAGTGCTCAGAAGCTGAATGACCACTGAGAATCTGTAGATGCTTCCACAGATGCAAAGTCCCCAGGTCACCTCACATTTTCCCATTACCCTCACACTGTACGCACCACTGCTTAAACTTACAGTGGAGTTCTCTCTGAAGCTACGGCAATAGGAGTTGGAAGTTAGCACTTAGAGACCCTTCCATGGGAATGTGGTGTCTAAATAATAAGTGATTATGATGATCTTGGTGGTGGTGTTGGTGATGATGGTGATGATAGTGGTGATGGTGGAGACGGTGGTGGTGGTGGTGGTGGTGATAGTGATGGTGACAGTGATGGTGGTGATAATGGTGGTGATGATGGTGATGATAGTGGTGATGGTGGAGATGGCGGTGGTGGTGGTGGTGGTGATGATAGTGATGGTGATAGTGATGGTGGTGATAATGATGGTGATGGTGAAGCTGGTGGTAGTAATGGTGATGAGAATGTTGATGATGGTGATACCAATGATTTCTCGAAAACCTACAAGAGAGGGATTATTGTTTTCCTCACTTTACAGACAAAGCAACAAAGGCTCAAAGTGTTGAATAAACTTAATCATAAAGGAGGTGAATGATGGAGCTGATTTCAAGCCCTGGCCTTTTCCCAAACCACAGCAGATGTTCTAAACACCTATAGTATGTCTTCCATACACAGTGTTTTCATCCTCTGTGGGACACCAGGGTTGGAAATATGTTAGGGCTACATTCAAGTTCTTCATAATTCCACCATCTAAATCTGCCAGGAATTCCCTGGCAGTCCCGTGGTTAGGACTCCACACTCTCACTGCCAAGGGCCCGGGTTCGATCCCTGGTCAGGGAACAAAAATCCCATAAGCCGTGTGGCATGGCCAAAAAAATAAATCAGGGGCTTCCCTGGTGGCGCAGTGGTTGAGAATACACCTGGGGACATGAGTTCGAGCCCTGGTCTGGGAAGATCCCACATGCCACGGGGCAACTAAGCCCATGCGCCACAACTGCTGAGCCTGTGCCCTAGAGCCTGCGAGCCACAGCTACTGAAGCCGTGCACTCTAGAGCCCGTGCTCTGCAACAAGAGAAGCCACCACAATGAGAAGCCTGCCCACTGCAACAAAGAGTAGCCCCTGCTCGCCACAACTAGAGAAAAGCCCGTGCGCAGCAACGAAGACCCAACGCAGC